CATGCCATAAGTCACTCATGCCAAGCTAGAATATTTATCTGTAATTTGTTGTCATTTTCATCGGTGAAGGTAACCAAGAAGTTTCCTAAGGCGTCATCACCCTTTCGAGACATCCTTGGGGCTTGATCTTCGAACCCAGACACAAGGAGACACTTGCATCAGATTGCCCTTTACAGCAGCCCAGCCCACTTGCTGCTGGAAGAAAAAAAGCCCCCACACTAATATTATGAAGGCTTTTCATCACAAATGGTCCTTCACGTTTACGAAATTATCACGAATGGTCTTTGAGGTTTTTTTGTGACACTAATAGTCCCTAACGTTTGGACTTTTTATCACAAATGGTCCCTACTGTCAGAAATTTTGTTAAGTGTTTGAGGTGGAAGATAAGTGGAACTCACATGTGCTTTCTCTCCCCCTCTGTTTTTTTGTTGCCTCTACAACCCAACCACCCCATCATGCCCACCCGCAACCCACCCCTCTCCCTATGTATATTTTGCAAAATAATCACTTTCATTTTACACAAACATTAATTCAAACAACTTTAAATAATAAATAAATAAATAAGAGGAGGAGAAAAAAAACAAAGGGAGAGGGTAGGGGAGTTGGGCATGGGTTGCGGGTTTCGAGGAGATGGAGAACAACTATATATCTTATATTTTTTCTTGCAGGTGGCAAAAGGAAAGGAAAAAACAGAGGGAGAAGAGATGTAGAGCAAAGGGTGGAGAGCAAGGGCAGAGGGGGAGAGAGACGGAGTAAGGAAGGGAAAGTAACGGACTGTCAAAAAATTTGACGGATGGGGTAAATTGAGACGGTTATTTATACGTTGGGGGGTACTTTGAGACGTTTTCCACCACAGGTGGTAATCTGAGAAAAACTTAAAGCACAGGGGGCATGTACATAATTAAGCCAAAAAAAAATGGAATTTTCATTAAAAATGTATTTAATTATATTTTTTATCCACATGTCACAATGTGATTGGATATGTGGGCTCCACTTATCTTCCATATCACACTTAACATAATTTAGAATGACAGGGACCATTTGTGATAAAAAAGCCCAAACGTTAAGGACTATTAGTGTCACAAAAAAACCTCAAGGACCATTCGTGACAATTTCGTAAACGTGAAGGACCATTTGTGATAAAAAAAGCCTATTATGAAAGATATTATGCATACTTTGCTATCTGCATATCCAAGCTCCTAATGACAATTTGGTTAGTAGCATTATTTGGTTCTTTGAATATAATTTCAGACATTAATCTATAGAGTTTCTGTTGGGATTTTTCCCTAGAACTCAATTATCTTCGTTCCAACTTCAATTCTATTGCTTTATCACTCTAGTCTCTATATTTTGGGTATGTTTAGGTCACTGGACAACAACTTATAATCGCTGCCTTGCATCAATTGGTATCAGAGCCTAGTCAATCCTTGCTCCACACCATGGTTGGATGTGCTTAAGGTCGTGGACGAGGGAACCAAGCCCAA